ATTTTAGAAATAAAACATCCAGTCTTACTTATGACTCAAGAAAATGCTGGTGGGACTTTCCACACTCCACCTTTTACAGCCCTGGAGTTAAACCACAAAAGAAACAGCTGGAGGTTTTAATTTCAAAAACATTCAGGACAAGTGGAGGTTTGGGGGCTAAGAGAGTCATTGGGACTCTGTTGTCCACTCAGACCTGAATTCACAAGTAGCTGGCAGTAAGATTTACTGACCTAACAGCTGGAATCTATCACTGCCTTTTAGATTTTCCTCTGCCTATCAAAAACACTGGAGGAGCTGCAAGGCAGCACCAGGCTACCAGAACACAGTGATCTCTCGTGTTTGAAAACCTCTCAGAAGAATCTAGACTGAGCTTTTTCCCTGCGTTTTGCAAAGCTCATCTACCACCTTCAGACTGTGACCACCAAGGACTTTCACCGTGCATAAAGCATATTTTCATAAAACCTTGCAAGCAAGTGCAAATATCCATTTGTAAATGCAAATAACAATTCAAGGAACATTTAAAAGCTTCCCATTTCTATAAAAAGGTATCATTTGTTCCATTCTTCTTCCACAGGTCGGAGTCTGTCTGTGTGTGTGAGTGCAGGTGGAGGCTGCACCTAGACAGCATTCATGCTGCTACACAGCTGTCAAAATATTAAAATCTAGTTTTTTTCAATTTTTAAGTGATTTGATGGAATAGCAGGAAGGCTTTCTATATAATCTACTTATTTAGTGTGACAACCTCTGACTCTGAGTCTGAGGAATCGAAAGCCAAGCAAATCTGCATATGCAAGGATGTAATTTCTCTCACATTTTTACAAAGCTGCAGATGAGAAATAGTTTCTCTCTAGCTGTGATGGTTGCACAGTGTTCAGTTTTGTGTCTCACTTGCTAATTCCATTAAGAAGAAAGGAAAACCTGGTTTACAAAGGCAGAGTAAAAATGCACCATAGTTTATATCCCATAGCTAAGCTCTGGGGCTTTATTATTCTACAGCAGTCCAGAAAATGGCTGACATAGTAGTAGACACAAAATTTAATTTAAACAGACAATGTCAAGTGGTTTAGACTCTAAACTTAACCTACTTTGAAAATGTTATCATCTGGAGAAGGAATCTAGTCTGAAGTTCTCATATTTTAGTCCGGGGGGAAAAAAAATTAAACAATAGTCACTGTAGAAATTCAGCACTGCTGCTCTGATTCCTGGCTCCTCTCCAGGCCCGTTACAGACAATGAAGATGGCTGTGACTGAACTGTATTTATTTTGGAGTCCAAGACCCTTGGACTTTTGAAGGGACTCACTGAAGAGTCTGAGACTCCTCTTTATCCTTGTAATGTGTGATGGCTCTCACGGCCTTCATCCCACAGCCGTGCCCCAGCCCAGGGAAGATGATGTGTTGACACAGATGGATTTTGCCCTTTTTGGTGGAGCTCTGGGTTTGCTTGGGCAACACAGCCATCTGTTGGATTACTCGCCCCAGCACCCCCGGGAGTGCCAGGACGGCCCTGGTGCCAGGCAGCACTCTGAAAACCATCCAAGACTGTCATGCAGGTTTGAAATCCCACGGGAAGCCAGGAGGGTGAGCAGGGAACAGAGCAGCCACGAGCAGACGCGCAGCATTTTGCGCTCGTTATCGGTTCTGGGCACGGCAACAGCTCTGGCAAGATGGGCCAAGGCACTGCCTGCAGCAGAGTCCCAGCACTCCCCAAGAGCCCAGAAAGCACCACCTGAGGCTGCTGCCAAGGGAAGAGTTTACTGCCCTCGAGGAACCCAAAAATACAGCTCAAACTGACCACTTGTGGATGCACATTTTTCACTATTTGGGCTGCAAATGCCTCCTTTCCCCTTCCATCAGCCTCTCTGAGCTGCTGGCATTCAGCTGCTGAGACTTGATCTAATCAATGCTCATATGGGGAGGTTTGTCTGGCCTGGAAGATGATATTATTGAATAGGTCTATCATATTTGTCAGTGTCTTTGCTGACAATTTTCATGAATATATAACACTGAAATATGGCACATCCATACTGACTTATTCCTTATGGTGCTCAAAATGGCTTGGAAAAAACCCTCTGTAATTTGATAATGAGAAAGGATAAAGTCATTAGGGGGATAATTGCTAATATCCAGATCTTAAGAAGAAAATATAAATACGGAAGAATACAAATAAATAGGCAAATGCATTAACAAGATGGGAACTTCCTGATTGCCTGGACTCTGAATTCCAAAATGCCACCAAAACAGCCTTATTTATGCATATAATGGGGAAATTCAAGAAAGCATCCATCACAGGACTTTCAGCTCAGACACTACATTCTAAAACATACATTACACTTAAAAGGCTTCAAAATGCTCTTTGATGGAAATTGCAAGATAAAGTGTATTTCTATTGGATTTGAGGGAAAAATCACACCCATTCATTTCTCCAGTAAAACCAAATCTCACTGCACAAACCTGATCAAGGTCAACGATCTGCCATTTGTTGAGGAGAGTGAAAATCTCCCCAAGTCTGATAAATACCTGGGGGTTTCAGGAAAAGGAGAGGCCAGCACTGCACAGAGGCACAAATGCACATGTGTACAGACACCGTGTTGACACGTGTGGCACAGGCAGCTGTGGCAAGGGTGGAATGGTGACCCTGGAGAGGCAGGACAGGGTCAGGGAAGGGTCTCCTACAGCTCACTCCTCTCAGGTTTGCTTTGTTGTAAAAGGGGGTACCGCTTTTTGGGTGCCTCTGATGGTCAGGCACTTAAGAATGCTGGCATAAATCTTTCCTGTGTAAAGCAAGAGTCCTTAAAAACCGAGGTGATGCAAACCTAACACAAAGGTTCACCCCCCCAAAGGAAAGTGCCCTCGGCTTTGCAATATTTGTGCATTGTTGGTGAGCAGCAGCGGGCTGGCAGGAACAGGAGGGAGCAAAGACACTGATGGAACAGACAGTTTGAATAGTTCTAGATGGAAAAACCCAGCTGGGTTGTTGGGACTTGTGGCTGTTTGCAGAGCTGCTGCCTTCCCGGGCCCCATGGTGGGTGTGTGGGGGTGGTTATGGAAAAACCCGCACGGCTCAGCCACCACAGTCCCTGCAAAGAGCCTTTGGCTGCATTAGCATAATTGACAACATCAATTATGCCCACTGCTCTACTCCCCCTGGGAAAGGCTGTCCATACAAGCCAATGTTTTTAAAAGCGTGCGGTGTTCACGGTCTCGGTGATTTTTATTGCCATTAAATGGTAGAGAACAAAGGTATTGTGTGGAAAGCTGCAGGCTCAGGGAAATTGCTTCAGAGGCTGAGCAACTGTTGCTTTTTCACACAAAGCTTCCCATGGTTAGGGCAGCATTTCCTGTCTGAGGAGATACGAAGGTGGGAAAAAAGTTGCTCATACCACATTCTTATCACAGCCACCACCATCAAACGTTTCTGCAGCTGAAAGAACACGAGGATGGCACAGAGCTTCCTGTCTGGCAAATGCTGATGTAGGAATGTTCACTGAGCCTCAGTTTTATACTGCTGCCTTCCTTCTCCCTGATAATTTCCAGAATAGGGAATTGAAAAAGGGCTCCAAGCCTTCATCTCGGCTTGGGGAAGTCAGCGCTGTCCTCAGCTCTCCAGCAAGAAAGGATTTAAGATAACATTGCTTGGTCTCATTTCTAACTTAAATCATTTTGGCTTACTTGGCCTTATCTTCTGTCTGCTGTTCTCACAGGACACAACATCAGCCTTTCCAGCCTTTTAAGAAAACTGACCACTACCTCCCAACAAAAAGCTGAGGGTGATGAAGAGTTTGGAGGAAAGACACTTTTTTCTCTTTGCACGTCCCTGTCTTCACCAATGGAAGCGTTCCTTGGCAGCAGGAAACACCTGTACCGTGCTCACTCTTGATCTTTTAGAAATTCATCCCAGCATTTTCTTTCCATAACAACTTCTACCCTCCCTGCTTCATGCTGCAGCATCCCCCAACACCTCACACGGCTCTGCCTCACCGAGACATCATTTATTCAGAGCTCTATGTTTTAATCATCACTCACTGTTTTAAATAGGAAAAGAACAATCATTTCTGAAGCTGGCTACCCCACTGTCACAGGGATGGCACAGAGGACCTGCAAAGGAGATGACCAGCTGGATTATCCCTGCCTCAGGACTCTCCCAGCAGGAATGTTCACACCTGTGAAACCATCAACTGCGTTTCACCCAAGCCATGCAGCTCAGCAAACCCAGCGATCCACACCTACTCTCTCCACACACTTCACAACCACAGAAATGTCACAGAACTGAAGCAATGAGTGCATCACCTGACCCATTTCCACCAGACCTTCCCAGAGGCTTTCATCCTCAGTGTGAGCTGTGAACATTTGCATGCATGTGCGTGCTCACACACACACACACGTTCCATTTCTAAATCAATCCTCCAAAGCAAAGAGTGTAAAAAATGTCTCCCAAACCTCACTAGTATTTACATGTTTTTAATTTCAAGTGCCATATAGGGCTATTCAGCCATTATATTTTACTGTAGCTTCTAAATAAATTAAACCCATTTATCACTTAAACCCCCCACATTTTAAGGACCTTATTAACTTCATAGTTAAATGCCGACAGGTAATATCTATTATGGCAGAGTTTCATGGTATCCCAGCAGTGCTATGAGCTGGATTTCCACTTCCTTAAACTTGTATATCATGACAAAAATATGCATAATCTAGTGCACTGATTCTATAATTTTCAACAATGTCTGCTAATTCTGGCAAATAATTTACAGTATTTATTTCCTCTGTCAGAGCAGGTGTTTTATGGCCAGCATAGCTGTAGGTTGACAAAAATAGAAGCAGCTTATTTGTTAAAAAGGGTTTATAGCAAAGGAAAGAGTAATGGAAAGACAATGTTTTCTTAAAGTAAACCAGGAAAACCATGCTAGAAGATGGAAGACACTTCACCTCAGTAAATGAAGGAGAAAAGAGACTTACACAGATCCTGTGAATTGTGATTCTCACAGAACAGGAACCGTACCTGCATAATCTGTCCTTGCATAATGCCCATCTTCTGACTTTGTAGTTGTTGTAGTATTGTCTGTGTGAAAAGAAAAGTGTTGAGTTGCCTGGGGAGCCTGGACTCGATACAGCCCATGCCCCAACCACAGTGCCCAGGCAGAGCTAACTTCACTTGCACACACATCATCTCTGCTGCCTGCAAGGCTCTCCTGGGCCTGCCAGGTGAAAACAGCAGGATCTTTTTTCTAACAATATGTGATAACAGATTGCAGCTGGGATAAATATATCAGTCTGAAGCAGGAGTTGTCATTTCTGCTCTACTTGAAGTAATTGGGGATTTTAATATGTACCCTGAAATGAACTGCCACTTAGGATGGTTAACTTTAAAGAGATAGGAATAAACTGGAATGTGTGTAATACACCTGTATGCTACGGCCTTGTGTGCTGAGGATTTATGGGTCAGAAGCCAAGGAAAAAAAGCTATTGAGAGTCTGAGCCTCAGTAGGCACTTTATTTACCGGAGCTATTGAAAAGCAAATTCTCTTCATTTTTATTTTAGAGAAAAACAGGGTTTTTGAAGTCAGCTCAAGGGTTACAGGTGATGTAGTAGCCCAAAAGGTGGGCACAGAGAAGCATTGTATTTATGGAGAAACAGAGAGAGCCTTGAGCCATGCTTGCAAAACTTCTTTCCAGGCATCTTGGGCATCATGAGGCCCCTCAAGGGTCATTTGAAGAACCAGCCCAGCACTGTGTTTGGGAGGACCTCTTCAGAGAATCTCAGCCTCATGCTGCTCCAGTTAAGGGAGCACCAGAGGATCCATCCTGGGTGGCAAAATGTATCTGAGGGGCATTCTTACTGCCCTGCTCCAGCTGCTGCCTGCCAGACAGAGCTCTGGGCAAGAGCTGCTGTGGGCAGGAGCCTGGTTGGTGACTGATGTAGAACCCAGAGCAGGGCTGGGCAGTGCCCTGCTGCTGCTGCTGTGGCCAGGGTAAGGAGTGGTGCCCCCACCATGCCTCACATCACAGAGGGCTCTGCCTCTCACCACAGCCTGTGCTCTACAGTTTAAACTGCAGCAGTCTAATGGAAATGTAACAATTCCCAAATAAGAAGCCAGCCCTGCTTCTTTTTCTTTTTTTCTCCCTGAACAAAAATTGAAAACATTCTTTGAAATGAGTTTTGTTATGAGAGTTACCTTGACATCGACCCAAAGACATGACTTCAATTTTCTCCTGTTTCTGGCATGATGCCTCTTTGATTTGACATGCATTATCATAAGATTTCCCATCGGAAGCACAAAGAGGATTGAAGTTGGTTTGAGAACAGTCAATGTTGCACACACACCTGAAAAGATACAGAAAGAGAAAAAAGGAGAGGCTAATATGAGAAACTTTTTTCAAGACATCATAAATACATCTTAGAAATATAAGTGTTTGCATTATCCTGACTGTACAATGCAAATCAACATAATGTAAGTGGAAAGTTCTGTTAAGAGGTCATTTGTATTTCTTGATGGAAATGAGATGCAGGGAGAGGGAAGAGGCACATAAAAGCAAGCAAAAAGAAAGATAAAAGAAGTGTGTTTTACATGGAAAACTGTACCACAGCATTACCACTTGTAATCTCCTGTAAACCAAAGAGATATGCAGATAAAGCAAGCTGCTGAGCCCTCCTGCAAACTAAAGGAGCCACAAAATTCTCCTCTGTTCAGGTGCTGTCCACTGTATGTAATACCATATAAATGTGGGTTAATATTGATTTATGATTTAATTCTGAAAATAATTACAGCACCTAGAGGCACTCTGATTGTAACAGAAGATCTGATACTGAAGCCTCACTTCACCCCACTGGAATAAAACCACCTGCCAAGACTGGAGCAGGGATGGGCTGGGGGGATCTCTCCAGCTCTTGGACACAGAGAGGCTACTCACTAGTAAAACCAGGAGAATCCTGTTTTAGGGAAAGCTTTGTGCACAAGCACTTTCTGAAGCACTTGGATAACTCAGCAAGCAAAAGGTGTTACCCAGGAAGGTCTCCTGACCGGGTGCTGTGCTCTGTGTGGGATGAAGGCTCCCATGAACAAGAGCACAGTGTGGGCAAATGCAGGTAGGGCAGTGATGGCCCCATCCTCAGATTCCTTAGGGCCATCTCCAGAGACTCCAGAAGCCAGGCTGTGAGCTCCTGGGCTCCCTGTGATTTGAACCAGAGCACAGGGAGGAATTCCCTTCCCAAGCCTGCTCTGCATCTGAACTAACACACTAACGTGGACACATCCTGATCCCAGCAAGCCTTGCCATTACTTCTAAGATGGAGAATCTGAATTATTTCCATCGACAGCAGGCTGCAGACCCTTTTCTTTCACTTTCTCCTATTTCACTATCGTTAGCAACGTCAGGCACCCCTGGGCATCAGCAGGGGAAAGGCAGGCTAATGTGTGCCCCAACTGTGGCGTGTAACAGACAGCTCAGGCTCAGCAAACCCAACGGGATCTTGCTTGGGGACAAAGCCAGAGGTCTAACCTGGCAGCTGCCCCAGCTCTTCTGAGCACGTAATTGTGCCCATGCTGCTATCTAAACTCTTCCTGGCTCCTTCTGACATTAAGGCAAAGCAATGCGATTGATGCTCTCTGTCTCCAGCCCACTGGTTGTGCCGAGCCTCGCGGTGCCAGCTCCACAGCCCTCCCTTTGGAAAGCTAACTAATGGAAATGTCAAGCCTCCAGCCTCGCTGCTTGATTTAAGGAAGTGTTTAAAAGTCAGTCCACCTCCCATTTGCTGCAGACATCTGGACACCTTTGTCTACTGGAGGTGTACAGGGATACACACAAAACTTTGGTGGAAAGAGGAAGAAGGAAATTAGAGAGTATGGGTCAGATTTCTCCATAAACCCTGTTAGGCTTCTGGCCTCCAGGAATGTGCCCAGGGTGATGGAAAGCAGTGGAACCAGTAGTTGAGTTCTTTTAGAATTTCTTTTTTTTTTTTTTTACACTGGGTAGATCTATTTACCCCCAAACGTTCACAAAATACAGAAAACTTCAGTTCAAAAAGAGGCCGGTGGTGAAAAGCTGTGGTTATAAATTAAATTACATGATTTCATAACTCGAAGAAAAGCGTCTAGCTCCCTGTGCGTAGCAATTTCCCCACACTGATAAACATACAGAAGAATATAAGAAAAAAAAAAAATGCAGTGCATTTCCCAAGAATCTCCTTATCAGCAGAATAAGAATGTTCTGCTCCACTGAAATATTAACCATCATCATTTCTTCCTGCAGCCATTTCCAGCTTCCCACCTTAGTCAAACTCACTTCATTAGGAAACATTTACTGCTCAAGTAATAGCAATTCTTTCCACGTAGCTCCACCATTTGCATTTCAGATGGGACACAATCAGCCATATGCTCCTTTTTTTTGTAATAAACCAGCTAAGAAACAGCTTCACTTCTCTACATTTTGCTACAGAAAAATGAGTGAAGGTTAATATATATTATGGTTCAAGTCAAGAGAAAATTAAGCCAACGGGAAAATTACAACAAAAGGGTGCTCTTTAGGGGAAAATCTGAGCAACTTTGGATGCAATTTCAAAAATACCTGAGGGATGTAGGAACCTATGCTCAGAGTTAGACACTTTAGAGACATATTTTTAAAGATGTTTAAATGCTTAAAGATGCATGCAAACACTTTGTGTGGGATTTTTGGTATCTCAGAGACCTATCTCCCACTGATTCCAAAGACTGCTTCAGAGCCCACTAGGCATTTATTTACATCTTCTGATACCTTCCAAAACACAAAGTCCCAAAATTACCTTCCTGACCTCTTCCAAGAAAACTGAGAAGAGAGCCAAGGTTTTTCTGTACCCCATTCTAGAATGTCCACTGTGACACCAACCTCTCTTTCCAAGCAAACCTCTGCAGCAGCCACATGGCAAGGACGTGAGCACCACAAATTACGTGCAGCATGTGCTGGGGTCAGATCCCTCTTGTGCCAGGGAGAACAGAAAGGGACACCCCCAGGATGACACCATATGCTCCAGAGCCTTATAGGATCTCCTGTGTGAAGCCTGATTTTCAGGGCCAGCTGGAGGGATGCTGAAAAAAACCCAAACTTGTCACCTTGCTGCAAGGGTCTCTGCAGCATCCACCCCTTGCACAGTTTTCAGGAGACAACTTCTAGCTTGCATCTGCAGTTTATTACTGCCTTTGCACTTATAAGGCTGCACAATTAAGTCAACATCAAATATATGTCAGGAAACGCAAAAGGTAGGATTGCATCAGGAAGATTAATGTGTTGGCTGGCTCTTTTTAATTTGTAGTGCTCCTCTTATAAGGGAAAATGATGGTATTCCAACACATCTTTTCAAACTGGAGGAAGCAACAGTCTTCCATTTGGACCATGCTGCCAAATTCCAGAAGGGCAAATAGCAGGGAAAGAGGTGAGGTGTGTACTCCAAACGTGTGTGCCCAGGCAAATGGAGCCTCTGAGAATACCTCAGACTTCAGTGGGCACCACCAGTGAGGTAATAAATACATAATGAACAGCACTTAATGCATTTGATTGAATGACAAACCTGTAAAGGTGCCCTCACTTCTTGAAGCATTACAAGATACTCTGTTGTGTTAAACGAGAACCAAACTGTGACATCCCTGCTCGTTAGGTGAGAGCACCAATGGTGTTATTTTCTGGGCACAGAGAGCACCTTCAGCTCTTGTGGGACACAGAAGACCCCTGCCCCGCAGAGAGCCCCCCCTAACACTTGTCATGCACAGGGCTGGCAGCACCCATTCCCACTGCCAAAGGTGTGTCCAATGGGCTGGCTGTCTGCCTGCAGCTTCCCAGTCCCTGAGGCACCCCAGTATGCCTCGGATTTTAAGTAATTCCATCATCTGACCGTGCTATCATCCTGCCTATGACTTCTGATTATAGTTCTATCAATAAATCTATTTGCTTTCAGTGCTCCTAAGTGTAGCACTGAAGAAAGCCTGGCAACAGAAAGGCTGACTGAGCTTTCCTGGGGCTCAAGACACTGTGGGAAGGTCAATGAGGTCTCCTAGGGGGTCAGAGAATGAAACTGTACCCAAGAGCATACACAGAATACGTGTGTAAGATTTAACCATGCCTTCTGCAGTCAGAAATGCAGCTTTAAAAGCCTCTGTGAGGAAGGAGAGCCTCCAAGATGTCAGCAGATAGCCTGCAGCTCCTCTGAGAAAGGAAAAAATGCTGTTCCACGGGCCCTTTGCATCTTCAGGTAATGGGATCATATGTTAATTGATTAAAATTTGGGCTGCCACCATAAACAATCATTAAACAAGGCTCATTTTCTTATACCTTTTCTTCCAGGTCATTGTGATAGTCTCCAATGAATTTCCTTTCTTTTAAACGCTTTATTTCATTCCATTTCATTTCACATGACGATATCTTGGAGGAGCTGAACATCCAGCAATCAGTGCTGTTACTTTGGTGATCATGGAAGCAAAGAACACCAAAGCAAACTAAAAAGAATGTTGAAGGGGCAAGCCCGGGCACCTCCTGAGAGGATTTTGGGCTAACTCCCCATGGTGGATCTTGCCACGCTGCTTGATGACATGAGAATGTCACACCCAGGGTGAACCAGAAGGTGTCTGCAGGCAGAGGTGCAGCCCTGCAGATAAGGTGCAGGAGAGGCCCAGGAGGATGCCTGGGGGAGAGCTGGCAGAGCTGAGCTTAGCCTGAGGCAGGTGAGATGCTGACAGGCACCTCCCTGTGCCTCACTACCCACTTGTGGGGTGGGTGTTGCTGCACTCTGCTCTCTGAGATTTGGGAGCTTCTTGTCAAGGCAGAAGTGCAAAGAGGGCTCTCAGCAGCACAAGAGAACCCCACAGGCATTTTGGGATTTCACTGGTTTGTCGTGCTTCTCTCCTCCCCTGGGTAATGAGAGAAGAGCACAGAGAACTCCTTTCCATCCTGGATCCTGATCATGAAGAAACGCTGCCCAGCCCTGAGCCTGGTCTCTGTGGCAGCAGTGATGGTGATGTGCTGCACCAGGCTGCTTGGCCAAGCTGCAGCACACAACTTGGCTTTCTGTAGAATCTGTCTCCATAAAAATTAACGGGGGTCAATAAACCAGGTATGGGTGAGTGCACAGTCTCCTCACGCCCCACGCTTCTGCAAATAACATATGGTGCTATTCTCTGGGCACAGAGAGTACAGTGCCTGCAGAGAGCAAGCTACTGAACAGAGGATTCGTGGCTATGAAGGACTGTCCCTGGAAAGAGCAACTGCATCTTAAGGAGGAGTCTAAATAAAATGAGAAAATGGTTCTTTGCCCATGAAGGGTAGGAGAATCCTGTAATTCCATCTCCCTAGCTCATGAAT